CCAAGCTTGCGGCTCAGCTGAAGCACAGCTTCTTTGGCCACACTTGAGCCGAGATGGGGCAGGGCATGGGGCTCAAGTGTTTGCGTTTGTCGAGCTAGCTGCAGCTCTTGTAGCCGTGTGACAAAACAGTCAGTCAGCTGCCAGGATGCCACCCAGGGCGTTGCTGATTTCTCTTGACATGTTTTGAATTCAATTAAGTAAATGCCTCAAGTTGCGAGCTCATCTCCCAACGTGCCACGTCTCTCAATTGCTTGTTGCTGTTGCTACCACGAGTAGCTGGTAGCTGGTGTTTATTATTATTAAAAGCGAAACTCAATTAGCTGCCCAGCCCAACGCCATGGATCCGTACTCGCACTCGAGAGACCCTGCCCGAAACGGCGCAAGTTGCTCTGTGAGCTTAAGCAGACTTCCGCCATGTTCAGTGCTCACTGTACGGTGTGCGGTGGTCGGCACTCAGGGGCTGTGCCCATTGGAAAATGATTGACAGGCGATTGGCATGATTTTGTATAAACAAATGCCCCAAGTCGAAGGCGCAAAAAATGTTTTAAACGAAAACTCATACACCAACACACTCACACACACTCACGCAAGCACACACACACGTACTCTAACAATACACACACCCGCACCTAGCGTGAAAATGGAAAGTTGGGCGTTTGATTTTCATTTTGTGTGAAGCAACTAGGAAAAAGTTTATTTAAAAACTAATTGAAAACTGCTTGCCTGTTGGCTACGACTTGCCACGGTTCGCTTCAGCTGCTTCTTCTGGGGCACCCGCCCATAGCCTCCGCCTAGTTCCATAGTTCCAAGTCAAGTGCTCGTTGTTTCGTATATTTAGCTACGCGTTTCTGGCCCGAATAATGAAAAAACAATTCGTTTCTCTAATATATTTTTTTTTTTATTCTGTTGTCTATTTGAAAAACCAATTTGTTTGTTTTCTTTGCTATCGCAAACAGTATGGAAAAGTGCATTTTGTTATTGAAATTTATAAATGCAATTATAGCATATTATTTCTATTTATTATTCCTATCAGTCTTGTTGGGCTCTTCCATATTACGCCATATTTGTTATTTGTTTTTTTCTTATTTAAGCCAAAACTTTTCAAAACTGTCAAATTAAACTGCCAGTTAACATTTTGCGCTTTCATTTATAACATTTATAAAAATGATTATAAGTACGATATAAGAACATAGACAGACTCTCTCTTATATGATTCCGGAAGGTAGACACGAATTTTCTTTTATTAAATTAATCAAGTACGAGGCGTTTTATATGTGCTATTCATCTTGATAACTATTGATTTAAAGATTTAAAGATTGAAAGTTTGTATCACAATTTTATTGAGCATATATATGAAGGGCGGAAAATAGGAGCAGGGGTTACTTAAAAGTGATGAAGAACAATGACAATAGACAACGAGAGTGGCATCTTTTAGCAAATGGTCAAGAGTCTTCCAATAAACGCATTTCAAATATTTTTAAGTAGTCAAAATGAAACTTGGTCAGGTTTCTCGGGTTAGCTCCTCCAACGTCTCCGACTCCGTTGATGGGTTAGGGGCGACAACTGAGCGTGGGTGGTTTACTTGTCTCGCTTCTGAATGGCTCGTGCCTTGAACTATGTGTATGTGTGTGCGATTCTCACCCTTCCCTTTTCTCTCTCTCTCTGTCTCTCTCTCTCTCTCTCTTTCTTTCTCTTTCTCTCTCTCTCCCCCTCTGTCTCTCTGTGTGTGGGTAAGAAAAGCCAGCAGGAAACTAAAAATGTTTTGTATGTACATATAAAGGAAAAATCGCAAAATTTACTGCAAATTGGAATTTTGCGCAATTGTAGAAAAAAATGTGGCAAGCAGGGCAAACCAACTAACCAGCCAACCAATGGCAACTGTAGCTAAACATTTTCTTTTTTCGGAGTGTGGCAGGAGAAACAGGGCGAGAGGAGCTTTGCCTTGTCCGTCTTTCTGTCAGTTTGTCTGGGCCAAAGACGCAGTGGCTCCTGCATCCTTTGTACTTCGTCCTGCAGCCGCTCGTCGCCAGCGCTTTAAGCCAATAATAAATAAAAATGCTTGTTACAACGCTACCCAAGCCCCGATGCCCGATTCCCGATCCCCGACCCCGAACCCCTCATTCATTACCCACCCGCAGCGAGCAACGAAAATTGCTACGGCTTCGAATTTATTTGCCCAACACAAACTTATAGAGGAAGAATGGCAGAGGGGCAACTGAGAGGGCGATAGACGGTTCCATAAAGTCGCCAAAGTTATAGTGAAAATTAATTAAGTTTTGCGCTGCGCTTAACAATTCAATTAAAAAATACGCGCCGCTTTATCGTCCCGCATAGTAAGTACTACAACAAAAAGCACTTTGGAAGACCGGCTACTCAATCCAGATGCAGACCAACACCGAGCTGCCCCAATCTCTGTAACACGAGTGTGCCGCTCAAGTGCCACAAGTGCTTTTGCACATCGTTATTATAACAATAATAAGCAGCAGCCGCAACACTAGCACCAACGCCAACACCAACAACAAAACGAACAAAAACACAAAAAGCAACATTTGCGCGGCTCTGCGCAAAGATTAATTGTGTGTTTTGGTTTGCCAGATCCCTGCCACGAAATGAATGTAAAATTGGAGCACACAGCCAAATAAATGACTTCGATTCGAGAGTCGAGAGTGGAGAGTCGAGAGTCTTTGGCTCAAAGTGCAATCCACTTGAAGGAATTTACATATCAGCAGCAGATACCGACGGCACCATCGTACCGCCTCAGTCTCAGCCTCAGCCTCAGCGTCAGCAACAGCTCCCCACCTCTGTATCTGAATGTGCCTCAATGTTGCAGCCAAATGCATTAATCAATTTCATGTTTTCTTAAGCGCGCGCCCGGCGCGATTTGAGTGCTCCGCGAATGATGCCGCCGCCTTTGCCTGCGTCCGCCTCTGCATCCGCGTCTGGGGACGCTTTACGTATGAGTGGAATAATCAATTTCGAGGATCATAAACAACTTTTAATGAAGTTGTTAAGTGCCAGCAGATAGTTGCTCAATGCGCCCTGCCTAAAGTGTAGCTCGCCGCCATGCCCTGACCGATAAGCAGGCCAGAAGAAGCCAACAGAGCAACTGCATCCATAATGGACTCCGGCTCTACTGACTCTTTACGTCGCCTCTCTCACTGGTCAGAGCGAAATACTTCCACAATCACGCATTTCCATAATTGCTAAATTATGCAGACCGCTCCATGAAGCTTAGTGGAAAGCAAGGCCCAGCAAAATGACCAACAAGTGCGCCTTTTGGGGGAATCTTTTGTTTTGGATTTTTTTTTCGTTTGTTTCTGGTAAATTAATTTTTCAACTTTTAATACATACACTTGTGCGTTTCCTCCGGGTAAGGGTATGCCATCTTGATGACTCAGTTAAAACTGAAAACGGAACTGAATCAGAGCGTTCAGATTTCCCCATGGACTCCTATTTAAATATCGTTTCGTTTAGTATTGAGGAATAATTAAACATCATAGGAATGTAAAAAATGTAGCACTTCTCTATAACAATTGCAAGCTTCTAAGTTTTTCGAGCATTTTGTAAACCTATTTCATTTCATCAGATTTGCAGATTCTAAGGGCATTCGGTATTCTGCTTGCCTCTGTTTTATGTTGTTTAACATCGGCTTTTGTTTTATGGTCGTGTTTAGAAAATCAACCACACAGCTGGCTGTCCAGTTGACCACTCAACAGACGTCTCCATCGGCGTCTAAATTAATCAAAACGAACTTCCGGTTTACGCAAAATGGCGTGAAGTCTGCCACCATGAATGTGTGTGTATTCTGTGTGTCTGGTGTGTGTGTGTGTGTTCGCGTTTTAGGCATGTGCTTCTGTGAAATTTTTCAGTGCTGTTGAAAATTAATGAATGAGTTAACTGAAAAATTAATGAAAAGCCAGCGGGAAAAACAGGTGAAGCAAATGGGAAGGGAAAGCAACAAAGAGGCAAAGGTGTTGTGCGAAAGATAAAGCATGGAAAATTTATGAAGCAACCAGGGAGAGGAACTCGCTGTCATAGCTTCCAAGTTAGACATTCATAGACGCACTATGTTTGGTGTTGAGAAATATTTGTTTTGGCACATTCAGTTCGGAGCAGGGTCGGAGCGTGAAATTATGCAATATTGGGCCAGCCGGGCTAGGCTGGGCTAAGTAGTTCATGGTACGGTCCATGGACCGTAGGCCGCAGCTAGGGGACGTGGACCTGGTTTATTTTGTTTGCATGTGCGCAGCCATTTGGGGCTTCCTGTTTGAGGCAAAGAAGGCATTTGAGTTACTTAAGTGTAACTAAAACTTAAAGTAAACACACAAATAACATACTTAATATTAAACAAAAATATACAAAATCATATGATGTTGCTGCCGGTTATGATGATGACGATGACTATGATGGTGCCGAGGCAAAAAGGAAAACAAACGCCAAGCGGAAATGCTGAGAGTGGGAGTTGGCGGTGGCGGAGATGCAGAGATGGTGATGGTGATGGTGTTCCCATGCAAACAAAAGATAATAGCCCCAGAAAATTTAAATTAACCAAAAATTATGCATGAACATTACCAAAGCACAGAGGCAAAGCCAAAGACTGCGTATGACATATATTAATTTTGTTTATAAACCACAACAAGCGAGACAGACGAATTTTGATAGAGAGCGAGAGGCAGAGAGGGACAGACGCAAAGACTAGGACTGACCTGACTTGTCTTAAACGGCAGCCACAAACAATGTCATCCATATGATTATCATTATGTTTAAGCAGCAGGCTTGCCATCCCAGAGCTGCTCTCAGCCAGAGGCAAGTAAAGTTATTTAATGCTCACTTGACAAACATTATGAACAGAACAGAACAACACAACTGGCCAAAATGAGCAAACAAAATTGTGAGCTGTGGTGATGCCGCCTAGTGCTGTGGCAATATTGACATAAGTTGTAGACCAAAAGTCGACTAGCTAAACTAGACTCTTCGCTTCTTTCTCTTTTTTCTTACAGGTGATGCCAGCAACGCTAGCATAGGCAGCGGCGAGGGTACCGGCGAGGAGGACGACGATGCGAGCGGCAAAAAGAACCAAAAGAAACGTGGCATTTTCCCAAAAGTAGCAACAAACATATTGAGAGCGTGGCTGTTTCAGCATTTAACGGTAAGTCCAATCCAATCAACAAAAAAAAAACAACATTAAACAGCCCCTCATTCCCACAACCTATCGCATTCTCCAGTTAGATTCGCTAAAACTCTACCGGATGGGCAAGCCCCCGTTTGTTATTAGTCTGCGATAAGCCCCATATTTGATTTTGGCCACCTTTTTTCCATGCTGCATTGATAAGATTACTGTCCCAGTTCCATGCCCAATAGGCGCTTTTTCAATGGGCGTGGCTAAACGAGGTGTTGTGAACGTTAATTGAAGGCGGCTCCAAATGGAGCACGACAAACGTAAGTCCGCAGATAAGATAATAAGATGTGCAAACTATAAATTGGTGATCTGGCCGTTTGTTGAATGGGCAGCTCCCTTAACTTAATTCGTCTCAACTGCGCAGTAAAAATAAATTTATAAACTCATTCGCATGCTTATCAAAGGCAAAAGAAACAGACTAAGCAAATCAAACAACCGCAACGGAACAGTTAAGTAACCATTTAAACCAGGTTCCCAATTTGGGCTGCGGTATGCGAAGTGGATATGTAGTCCATTGAATGGCTTATGGCTCGGTCATCGCGTCCAATTAGATTTCCATTTGAGCCATCAAAGTGCTCAGATAAATGGCATTCGGACTGTCCCAAAAAGCGATACTAAAAGCGAATTGCCAAAACCAAAAACTATTCAACAGAAACCTGGTCAGCCAAATCAAAGTTCAGACCGGAAAGTCCAGCGGGGCGGATGTCTAATACAAATAAACAGATTTGTTATGCGCCACTTTATGTTAAGCAGAAGGATGCAGGATACGTACAAGAGTTTCAACCGAGCGTAAGGGTTGTCCTCGAAAAGTAAATAAAAAATAAAAATAACAAAACTATAAGATTTTATGCGCTACGGTCAAGCGGCTGTTAAGGAAGTTCAAACTGCTGCGCTATATTTTGGCCATTAGCCACATTCGCCCTTCGATTGCGGTTGCTGCGTATGTAAAATGATAAAAATCTTAATGGAATTTTATAAAAGTGTGCGTGAGTGCATGTGTGAGTGTGTGTCTGTGTGTCTGTGTGTATTGGCTAACGACTAGGAGTCTGCAGTGACCAACACCCAAGGCAGACCCCGAAGGGCAGCCACAGGCGATAAGCAAACAAATCGGAAATTAAAGTTGATCGCTGGAATGTTTATCTGCTGTAGTCCAGCATCCAGTAATTTTTCTGGCGCAGTTTTAAAATAGCTAAGCTGATGCGCCACCCCCACTAGAAGCGGCATTAGCCTACCCCCCGCTCAGAAGCGCCCACCCTCTGACATTGATGGATTGCCGTTTAAATCAGCGCATCACTCATGTTTACCCGGCTAAGGCGTCATCGACTACCGACTGCCGACTACGGCTCGATTTTCACAGCCTCCGCGGCGGGCGTCTGCATATCCTTGACTGATTTTCTTTTTTCTTTCGGTTGCCGTTGCTTTTGTTGTTGTTAGCTTAATGCTATTAACAGTTTGGGCACATTAGGGAAATTGTTTTTGTTCGAACTTTAATTTTGTATTCAAAGTCGCATTTAGATAATGCAAATGCAATGCTTGCCAATTTGATTTATCACCCGATTTCCATTGGCATAATTAACAGTTTTCCAGACATCGGCTGCCAAGTGAAACTCGATGCCAGCTCGTCAAACTAAATGCATGACCGGCACAGCCATTGCCAACATGCGCGACATGGATGGCGTTGTCGACTATGGCAACGATGGCAACGATGGCGACGCTGGCGTTGCTAAAGTCGTTAAAAACCAGACCCCAAGTAAGACGCCGATGACGTTGGTGCTAATGAAGTGCACTGCAGTCGGCTGGGGAACCGGGACTGCAAATGGGGACTGAGACTGGGGCTGGGTTAAGCGCGCACTGGCTGGCCAACCAAAAACAAAAGGCACCCAAACAACAGCCGAGGAACGAGGAACGAGGGCAATGCAATGCATGGCTGGTTTGTTGTTGTTGCTGATTGCTGCATTCATGTTGCTGTTGCTGCTGTTGTTGCCATAATTATGGCAGGCGCGCGAATATTTTGTTTACATTTGGCGCGCATTGCAGACAGGCAACGGCAACAACAGCTAAGGCAACGGGCAATACCAACGAGCAAAAAGTTTCATTTCGCGTGCTCCGCCTACTCGCTGCCACATGTGCCCAGTCGCTAGTCCCGTTCCCGGTCCCAGTCACATATGCCAGATCCCATGCCCCTTTCCATGTGTGCGGCTCGCAATTTTCTTCCGGCCGCCTGTCGCCGTCTGGCGTCTGCCGTCGCTTGAAGCTTGTCGGCTTCGGCTTTTCGATTCAGTTTGCTGTTGTTGCGACTCCGCGTCGTTGCAGTTGCCACACTGAAAAGTAACCCCCGAAAAAAGCGCAAAATGGCCAAAACGGTAAACGCGGCGCACGGCAAGGGGAGCGACTTTTGCAAGCAGTTGCATTGTTGTCAGCGCTCATGTTACATGTTGCACGGTGGCGGCGTCAGCGGCGGCGCTTGGTGTGTGGCACGTTTATTGTTATGGGCGAATACGAACTCAAGATGCGCTACAGCAGCGAACGACAACGGATTGACACAACTACCGAATAGTTTCTTAGAGAAATGTTGTTGAGATCAAACATAAAAAAGAGCCAATGCACTTTTTGATGCCAGAGGGCAGTCGAATAAAATAGAAGTGTGGCACTTGCACAGTTTAAGCCTTTCTTGCCTTCCACCCGCCTCCTCTTATAGACATAATTAATTCTCCTACCTTTGTCAGTTTCTTGACCCTTTCACACACTCGCGCGCATATACTGGCCGTAGGGCATCTTTATAACTTTGTGTATGCCTCGCGATTGTTGCAAATTATTATTTTTATTGCCTTAACGGGGTGCCGGCGACTTTGAGGATGAGGACAAAGTTGCGATTATCTCTCCCTCCCTCTCTCTCTCTCTCTCTCTCTCTCTCTCTCTCTCTCTCTCTCTCTCTCTCTCTCTCTTCTCTCTCTCTCTCTCTCTCTCTTTCTCTACCTCTCTTATTCTAACTTTATTTGCTCCGGTGTCATCTTGTCTCTATCTTGCTTTCCACTAGAGTGGAAACACTCATTTGGCTCTGTTTAGATATGTAGTGTAACTGAAAAAAATCTTCATAATGGCTGCCACAGGCCGACTTCATCGTCGTCGTCGTCGTGGTCGCAATGCAATTTTCACCGCCGCCGACGCCGCAGCAATTTGCAGTTGCTTGTTTTTGTTGTTGCTGTTACTGTTCCTGTTGTGGCTGTTGCTGTTGGTGTTGCAGCTTGTTTCACAAATGGCGTCGCATTTGGCGTTGTTAATGGCTGCGGTGTCGCTGGCCGGTTGTACGTGTGCATTACCAAGCCAAAGCCGGAGCCGGAGTCGACGTCTTGGGCTTGTTGTGCCATGTGTCACGGCATTGCAGTCATGTTGACATCATGTAGGGAGGGAGAGCAGTGAGAAGGGGCGAGAGACACAGTGAGAGAGAGAGAGAGACAGAGAGAGAGAGAGAGACAGAGAGAGAGAGAGAGAGAGAGAGAGAGAGAGAGAGAGAGAGAAAGAGAGAGAGTGAGATATGGACCTAGGCCTATGCCTGAGGTGGCATGGCACTTGTCGACGTCACTTGAAGAGGGGATCTAAATGTATATATATATCTACATAAATACACGTGTGTCTGTGGTGATTGTTTCAAATTCATTTGCCAAGTTTAAATAAACACAACACGAGCGAAAATATGTGGAAAAAGTGGAGCGAGTTAAGCGACTAGACAAAGGCAAAAATGTTGGCCCCGAGGCGAGGGAAAGAGCCAACGAAGGCATAACCAGAGCAGGCGAAAGGGAGGCGGTAGGGGCCACGGCGGCGACATGGCAAAAGCAACTTAAAGGCGTGACAGTAATTAATTATTTTGTCGTATGGTAAATTAATAAACCAAATGGACTTTGTTTCACTTGACATGTTTGCACTCGCCTGCTTGGTTAGCTTCTGAAGCTGTCTGTCTGTCGATAGTTGCTGTGCCTGTATGTGCGTGTATATGTATGTGTTTTTGGTGTGCGAAATGCATAATTGGTTACATTAGCGTAATTGGAGCGCCCCTGTGGAGCTGCCGATGGAACCACCATCAATTGCAGCAGTAGGCGTCGAAATGAAAATAGCGCGACAGCCATTAATGCGTTTTTGATAAGCTACAGACAGGCTAATAATGAACTTGATCAACCATCTGGAGGTAGTCTGAAAGAGGTTTCAGATGGTGTAGGATCAGTATGGAATACCACTTTTCCCTTGACCGGCTTCTGAATTACAACTATCTGGCTCCACAATAATGTCAACCTCAGCCAGAGAATAGATAGAATGCATATGCAGATGGGTAAAAGCATTTCTCTAAATAGATGAACGCCACAAAGTATGCTATAAATTCCATTTTAATTTACCTGCATGTAATTTATGCCTTTTGACTTCTTGAGCATTCTATGCCCCAAAACGAGGTGCAGCAGCAACAGCAGTCACGACTGGGACTGGGAACATTGCTATTGGCATGTCCATTGTATTTACATGGACATCTACGTTTATTTGTCAATACACAAATTTCATATACTAGTTTTCGTATTGGCTATTGTCAGGAGTTGAACTCGAAGCGGGTTGGAGGCGGCGGTGGGCGTGCCACTTGGCCTGTGCAGGACAGCAAACAAATATTGCTGCCCGGACACGTACACACACTCACACACACACATACACACATATAGACGCATACACAATATCTACAAGAAGACAACACGCAAAATTTATTAAACACAAACAATAAGGCAAATGCATTAAAGGAGTCGCAGCAGCGGAGGGGGCAGGGCCAAGCAACAGAGGACAGGCCAAAATGGGTGTGCACGGCAAGGACAACAAGGCAACTAAATTGCATTACAGACATTACGTAGGACATGCTGCCCAAGCCGACAGACAGAGGATAGCAAGACAAGCGACAAGGATGTGCAGCGTTGCACATTTCGAATGGAATTCGAATTCCTGGCACTTGAGCACTTGCATATTGAATACTGAATGTCCAATCTACAACATATACAATGTACAATATATATTGGTATATAACTAGATATTTATTTGTATATGTACATTTGTATACAAGTGACAGTCCATATATTTTGGGGCACTGTGTGGATAAGAAAACGGTACATTTCAGTGGCACAACAATTGCTTCCTGTGTGTATGGCAAATTGCATGTGCAGACAACGGCGAACTGCGAGTCCATATCTCAAAAGTTCAATTGCCGGCAACCGCAAAATCACAATAGACAAACCAACAGACGAAAGGATGAAGCGACGACTGAAATTGAGGCAGTGTCCTTTGGCTGAGGAGTGCTAAAACTGAAACGCCTACAGCTGCCGGAAATGAAGTCGCATCCAAAGAGGGTTAAACAAAGCCAACGCGACGCATGCGCCAAGGGATCGAGTGAAACAAAGAAATAAGCGAAGCCCAAGCCGAATCCCAAGCAAAGGGCAAAGCCAAAGCCAATCTCAATTTCAATGGCAAGCCAAATCATTGACAGCCATTTCCGCCAGCTCCACAGAAATTAGTAAGTCCAGGTGTGTGCAGAGCTGAAACTTCAGGCTGGCTTCCCGATCTCTTTTCAGTGGGAATGCGTTGAGTCAATATTAGAAATCTATGGAGCGCACAAGCAACGACAACAGCTAAAACAAATAGAAAATTGTAATAAGCGCCAGCAGCGTCAGCCGATTAGATTAGCGATGGAGAGGGAATTGCCACTGCGACTGCTTCATACCAAATGCTCCTGCACACCCACTTGCATTGGTCGGTGCAGGGTGCGGGGTGGCCTATGGTGGGGGCAGGGCGGGCTGGTCGGGCGGTCTGTTTGCTCACTGACGCCACTGTGGCGGCGCGCCGGCAGCAAGATTTATGAGGAGTAACGGCCAGCGGTAGTCCCCTCCCGCCCCACTCTCCAAGCACACGCGGCCGGGCCTTTGTTTGCCTATTTGGCGCTACCGAAACCCAACCGTAGTTGGCCCAGACCGACAAAATTGAGGACATTTTGAGTGGCAGCGCTGATAAGCGCGAGCCTCCATGCGGCCGACTGGAAAGGGGTGCACTCACTGGTCAGAGATCCAGATAAACATTCCATCCAAACCAAGAGAACCCAAAAATTCCAAAAAAAAAAAAACGACATAGTTTCGGAGGGAGCGCATTTCAAGTGCACCAGCGCCACCCGGTGACAGGTTAAATTTCGCTCTATATATATGATGGTATATAGTTATATAGCACCCATAGCAATGATTGATCGATTGTCCATGCTTCACGTACTCCATGTTGATAGATTGTAAATCTTCTATGTTCTTCTATTCTGTTCCAGCGACCGTTAATTGAATTGTGCTTGCTGCACATTAATTTATCGTGATATCTTTTTCTTTATAGCATCCCTACCCATCCGAGGACCAAAAAAAACAGTTGGCGCAAGATACTGGCCTAACGATACTGCAAGTTAACAATTGGTAAGTTGACAACATTGAAAATCAAATAAACTATGATTTTAAGGAAAACTTAGTTGTGACCAGAGAAAAACTTCTGAATAATCCCGAGCAAACATTAAAATTTAAAATGTTGAAAGCCTAGATAACGTTAAATACAAATGTTTCCAATATTTAGAAAGTTGTATAGATGATATCTTTGTATCTACCCGATATTGCTGACCAAGATCTTCTTTCGTGCTGTGAGAGCGATTCACTGTGCCTAACTGATGGCCGGGCCACACTTCACAGCTTAGGATAATACAAGACCATTATTTGCACACTTTATGCCATTTGCTGGTGAACCAGAATCAAGACTCGAGCCAGAACCAGATCACACACACAAAAGCTATCATCTTACAGAAAGCAGGCCGAGCAAATTTATAAGGCAACTTGCGCCTACGCCAAAAAGCTAAGCAGGCCGACACTGACGCAACCTGCCCCATGCAAAATTGTGGCACATAAAGTTATGGGGCATGTTGCACGAATAGATGGCAGCGGTACACCGACAAGCAAACAAAACTTATCGAATGCTCCAAGCTCTCAGGCAAAGATGCAGAACTTAACGGTGACTTCATCAAATTTTGCACATTATGCGACATGCTGCAGAACTTGACACCTGGCAGCCAATGCAAAAGACAAGACAAGCTTCTAAGCTGTAGCTGTAGCTGCAACTGCCTCGTAGGTGCACGAGCTGCAGCCAGATTCAGGATGGGAAACAGAGAGTCAACAGTAGGGGTATTTGGTAAGGAGGGCCTAGATACAAAAGCTTGAGAGCCAGTTAAAAGCGTTGCTGAATCTTTTATGCAGTTGGGGCAACATGTCTCTGGCATGGAATGCTTTTAAGCAGGGACAGGCCATAATAAAATCTAGCGAAAAATGTGAGCCGCAGTTGGAGCCTGGAGTGGGTTGCCCGAATGTCTTTGCCGGGGCTATTGGGTGAAGTGGTGGACTGGTCGAGTGCTGCTCTAACGCAGGCACTCAGCTCAATTAAATTGAATTTCGCGCTCACTGAAGCACACTGCAAATTAACAAATACGAGCGGTGGCGGCAAGGACTGCTAAGGACTGGCAAGGACCCCTGCCCATTTCGCTTCAGCACGCAACGCTGCGTAGACAGCCGCGATAAGACAGACAGAGAGAGAGAGAGAGAGACAGAGGAGAGAAAGAAAATATAGAGATAGAGTGTGTGAGCAAGGGAGAGAAGAACCAAAACAGAAAAAAAGGCAACAACCTTAGCAGAAAATAGCAAAATAAAATGTTGACACTTTTGGTTATTTATGGGCCGGCAGACGACACCTTCGCCAAAGCACTAATCCATGGGGAATGGCCATGGGCTTCGGGCAGCTTGGTGGAGCACCACCGGCAGCTAGATAAATATGTATTTATTTTGCGCAATTTGAGGAGAAAAAAATAAAAAGGCAACTGCGTAAGCAGCAATTCAAATGACCAGCAGAAGGAGAGAGAGTGGCGGAGAGAGAGAAAGAGAATAAAAGTCCATTAACACCCAATAATAAGAAAGAAATGTAAGAACGGCTGGACAGGATTCAGTTTTGTTGCTGCTTACGGCGGTAATCGAAAAAGTTTTGCTGTAGCCAAGTTTTAAATATTAACGCTTACTTACAGCTGCAGAGCTGGAAAAAAGTTATAATTATGGCGTAAGTACATAAATAACGCTGCAAATGTGCCGCTTTTCTTTTCTTATTTTTTTACTCCGAGAGTGTGTAGGTGGTTGATAGAGGGAGGGGAGCGGGCATATTGTTGGTAGGTGATTTGGATATACAGCATAAAGCCGAACTAGATGCCATACGCCACATGCTCACTGTTTATTCAGTTTGCAACCAGGCAGCCAATCAAGTCAGCAGCCAGCGGCCAAATCGATTTGCAGCTTACATCGTCTCACATACACTTCCCTCTCCCTCTCTCTCTATCTCCCTTTCTCTCTCTTCGTCGCTGCCTATCTCTTGAAAGGTTCCAAAAACGCAACGGAACTCAATTCCATTTTGTCGTTTTGATAAACGATTTCAGGGCGTTGCAACAATTTCCGCCTCAAAATGAGCAAAGCCAGCAGCAGAAATGAACTGCAAATTGAAAAAAAAAATAGTATGTATATGTACATACAAAAATATTTATATATATATATACAAAAAAGGAAAAGCTTATATGTGTTCATAAATAAGGAAAGGATTTCGTTTCAGAGGGAGCACTCAGAGCATTAACCTCGGATAAGATTCAATGAGTTAGCTCATTGTTGTTTTTGGCTAATGTCTGACTCGTTTGTTATTATTGTTCTTGTTATTATTGTAGGATTTTTTTCTTACTCTCCTTGGTGTGCGTGTTTGTCAACCCATGTGGGTAACATCGTCCGAGCCACAGCACTGACTGTCACTCCGAACAACGGGCTATGACGATGGCGGCTTTTTGCTTTAATCATTTCATTTCTCTGGCTTTTTCGTCGCTGATCCTTCACGCAGCGGATCAGCAACTGCAGCGACGGCCTGCTTATTATTTCTTATTGCATTTATTAAACGACAATCATAACCAAAGTCGGCATTGGGCTTTGTAAAGCCGGCCATTCCATTCTACACTCTCCGTCTCCTGTTCTCCATTGCCCCTTTTTCCATTGATGTGCCCGACTGGACGAGCAAAAAGTGTGACTCTGGCCAAGATTTGGTTTAGTTTATGGTTAAGTTGCGCACATAAAGCAGAGAGCTGCAAATCCCTGCAGTCTAAGAAACAGCCGTCACTGAAATAGTTTATAAATAATTCATAAACGCATTTGCTGTGTTGCGCTTAATTAAAAACTATAACTAAAATCTGAACCCATTTCTTTGATTCTTTCACAGGTTCATCAATGCGCGACGAAGAATTGTGCAGCCAATGATTGATCAATCGAACCGAGCAGGTAAATATCCAAAATCCCACTAAAATTAAAAAATATCCATAACTATGAAATGGCGCAGAGCAAAGAAAACCCAATTAGGAGCTTTGTCTAATTTCGAACGCGATTTCTAATTATGTGCATTTTTTTCTTTTGTTCTGCCCATGCAACTCTCAACAGTTTATACACCGCATCCAGGTCCCTCCGGTTATGGTCACGATGCCATGGGCTACATGATGGACAGCCAGGCGCACATGATGCATCGTCCGCCCGGCGATCCAGGCTTCCATCAAGGCTACCCGCACTACCCGCCCGCTGAATACTACGGACAGCACTTGTAATCCAGCGCACACAACGACCACGGGCCAAATGCGGAAGCCTTAACTGGAGTCGAAGCTCTCACTGAAACTGAAACTGATGCCCATGCGGAAGCGGAAGTGGAAGGCGATGCCGATGGCAAAGGCAAGTGCGTACCCGCAAGCGGATGTTGAGCAGCAAGCTGATAGCGACAAAGCCAAAATCATAGCTTAAACTTACTACTACATACTAAAACAGAGCAGAGGAGCCGACGAAACGAGAGTGGCCAGGACCTTTGAACCGTGTAACTTACAATACCGAGTGGCAATATCAGTCAAGTAATAGAGCAAAGTAATACTGTAGTAAAATCTTAAACACAAAAACAAAACAAACAAAAACATGAGATATTAGCTAATCGAAAGGCAGGCACAACAACAGAATCACCAGCATCAACAGCGGCAGCAACAGCAACAACAACAACAACAACAACTACAACAACAAATAACAATTTTAAGAGAACTTCTTGTGTATACTTTAAACATAAATAACAAATACAACAAGCAACAAAAAAAGAGAAAGATATTTATGCATAAACAAAATGAAACGCTTAGGTCTAAGTTAAATAAACGAATCAGAACCCACAAACATTTTCACAGACACACTCAAACACACATACACAGACACACACACAAGCTTGCTAATTATATATCCTTTATGCAAATTTTTACTTTCAAAAAGCTACAAAAGGCAAATGTTAATGCAAATATTTCAAAGAATGAATTTAGGCGCAATCCAAAACGAAATAGAATTTAAAATTGAAGCTAAAGCAATAAATACGATTTGGTGTATCAACTAGGTTTTAATATGGATAACTAAATGCCCCGCTCACTAGCAGCATACATTGAAACGGATCCCAAGCTGCGTACAATTATTTAATGAACAAGTTGAAAACAAGAAAGTAGAAAAAGCAGAAAAAATATTAAAAAAAACGGAAAACATAAAAATAAAATTCTTTGCTAGAGTTTAGTTTCTTTTTAGTTGTACTTTTAACAAGTCAGTTATAGTAAACGCTTATGTTTTTTTATAGTTTATACCTTTGTTTGTACGGATACATACAAATGTACATATAAACAGAACGATAACTAATTAAACATAATTCAAACATAAAAAACCTACTACTTACTTATGTATATGCTTATGTATGTATATCTTAGGTTTAGCACTATAATTTAAATAAATTGAATTGTTTTCTAATTTTACGCGTTGCAAAACTTAAGAAAAGAAAAAAAAGAAATTTAATTTAATTTAAAAAAAAAAACACACATATATATATACATGTCCTTTTTTGAATGGAGTTTGTTTAAAAATTTGTTCTTTATGTGTGTATTTGTAGTATTATACACGTACATATACATATATTATGAAGTACACACACTTTAACCATTATAAGCATACGAGTATAAAACACATACTTAAACACAAACATTTACATACACATACACATACAGATGCAGATATAAATAATAAATTATGAATAATTTTAAATTGTACTTTTATTTATGTATTTTAATTTGTATGCGTTATATTTAGTTACTATTATCATTATTATTATATTTACTTAACTAATGATTTAATTTTAAAACAAAACAAAAGTGAAAACAAGCGCATTGTATGAATGATGATTAAATGATGAAAATAAGAGTAAAATGCATATATGAAAAAATTGCAAAAATACATTTTCTGGTGTTTTTATTTGATTTTAGTTTTGATTTGTTAATTGCAGCTTTTCAGCGGGTTCTTTTTATAATATATATGTTATTATTTCCAAGAGTTGTGAGAGGTATCTACTACGGAGCATCGATTCTCAAAGAGAAACATGTCGTTGAAATTATTTTGCCTACAAGCATGCACAAACACTCACCCACACATACGCACACACAACACACCCACGCACAGAATTTATTCAGAATTATTTGCGATATATTCTTTAACTTTATACAATGGAACTGAATTCAGCAAGCACAAGTGCGTTTAAATTGAATTTACACCGTTTTTAAAATTGTAAAAACTAACGTAACGAATATACGTAAATGAAAAGAGAAACAAACTGAAATTTAGGTGTTGTATTTTTTTCGGATTACTTTCCATGTTAGTCAAGTGTAAAAAACTGAGTACCCTTTTTAAGCTCAAGATAAAAGCAAGTGTAGGAAAGATGCAGAAATCATTTATATGTTTGTAATTAAACTTAAGATTGTGAGCTTCTTTCTCGTGGTAACTTCTTATTTATTTAGCAGACACTACCTATATATAGCTACAATTGAAACAATCACTCAAACGTATACGAACTTCTAAAAGAATACCCCATTAAAAATTAATGCTATTGTTTTGCACGAACGAAAAACTACAAAAACTTATTTACAAATTGCTAAAGGCAAATGATTTTTCGCAAGCCGTATTAAAAAATGGAGATTAAACACAATGCAAATTTTCTCTAAAAACTACAAAATTATACGATTTATGCATTGATATTAATATATTAGACTAAATGGTAGTTAAATAATCAACACAACCATTGACTTGAGAAAAGATGAAACGCAAATTGTACAGAACGCCTTAAATAAAAACCAAAGCATGGAATAAGCGAATGAAGTATACGAGTCTATATATATACACATATAAACTATAAATTACTAGATATATTATTATTAATTTTAAAAACCCAAGGCATAATTATTATAGTAATGTATGGTATAAGCGAAAGGAACCAAAAGTCAGTTAGATTGAAATAGATCACTAACGCAAACACCAGATAAGATGCCAGATGTTAACATGTTGAGAGAGATACCAAGAAGAGAGAGAAATGCAGTGCAGTTCGGATAAATTAGTTGGGAATCTTGAAAAATGTTACTTTTCGGGTTATTTCGGGTCAAAACCACTTTTAAATGAGAATTTAAAATATTGATATCTGAATAGCGCACATTATATTACCCGACTACATATTGAGTACACGGATTTCTCTTTCGTTCCAACATGTTAACAGAAACCAAAGCATTTCGAATCGCAACCAAAAGCTTGTACATTGAAACCGCTAAACAATGTTGCAAATATGAATCTATGAATCTAGATGAAAGTAAGTTAGAAACTCAATTATTTTGTATGTGGTGACCGCTTGCTTTGCATTTTGAAAGTGCCCGTTATGTGTCAGTGTTGATAAGCGTTACATAGAATAAAGACGGAAGGTTAAAAAAAAAATATATATATAACAAAAAAAAAAGGAAGTAAATGCTAACAATTATAAATAATACATATTGTATATGAAATAATTTTAATGCTTTTTATGTTTCAACTTTTTTCGTATCAGAATTTAAATTAAAATGTGATTTTTCTCGAAACTTTAATGTATACGCCGTAAATATTTAACATGATTATTAAGGACGACAGCAACATTTATTACGATGATTATATTTACATACATATATTTAATAAATATTGTAAATTTTGGATAACCTCTCATTGAAAATATTTTGTAAATAGCGCAAAAAATTGCATTAATTATAAACGCATGCGTGATTAATCATAAACAGAAATCCAGAAAAAAAGAAAATATAATTAAATTGTATTTAATGCTAGTTGGTAAAAGCCCAACCAAATGCAATCCTGAGCATAGACTAAAAAGTGCACAAACAATTTATACAACTTCAACTTACCCACGTGACAGCATTGGAACATATAGAAGAGCAAAAAAAGACAGAGAAAGAGGAGCACACAAACTGAGAGAGAGCTGGAGAGAGTGAGAGAGAGAGCGAACGAGCGAGAGAGAGAAAGTGTGCGCTGGATAGGAGTTAGAACAGGAGAGAGAGCTAACTCCATATTTGAAAAAATGTGCAAAAATAAAAGAATGCAACAGTAAATATGCAAATTAATATATTTATAATTAAATAAATGTTTGTGCGTGTAAAAACTAACTTTAACTAAATTCCTAGGATTAAATGGAAAGCAAACGAAAGCATAAAAACAATTAATTATAAAAATTATACTTAATTATATTGAAAACAAAAGTATCATTTACTTAATAAATTAATTGAAGCTTCTATGTAAAGAAATAAAAATTAGAACCCCTAAGATTATGAGCATATTGAAGAGGCAAATAGAACAACAACTTGAAGAGAGAGCAAACTAAAAACAAAACAAAAGAAATATGAGAAAGAAATATTGAACATAATTTTCAATTGTAATAAATTATGAAATAAAAGATTATGAAAACCTAATCTCGTCTGTCTATATATATTTATATATGTCTAAAGGGAGATATATATATGGGATCTCTTTGCACTCAAAGCGCTTTGCAACTGACAACTGATGTGGGTGCACGCTCTCACTTTGCCAACTGCCAAATGTCAGCTGGGCAATTGTGTGACTATGCCCCGATCCCGATCACAGCTGACCCCAGCCAGAGCTCGACCAATGCGTTGCCAATATATCTCGCTCACCTTCTCGGTTAATATAATTGAACTATAATTGCCTGGGACTTTCCTGGCGAGCGGGGCACATGCTTCATTGGCGCTGCTTCCGCTCCCGTTTCGTGACCTGCAGACGGTCATGGAGAAGGCATTAGTTGGTCATCAGTTGGTGTGAAGTACATGCACTTTTCTTCTTCTCCTTCTTATATATGGCAGCCGCTGCTAATTCCAATTCCAATTCCAATCCCAATTCAATGGCACAACAGCTGTGCGGATTGCCACGCACCCTGGCACACACACACTCACACACGCTTGACCAACAAATTCAATTAATATTAATTAGCCAAGGTGCTGAGCTGGTTGCTTAAGCTGCACGCTGCGCTTAACGCTGTCGCACATACAAAATATACACACATACACACACAAATGGAGTTTTAATCATTTTCCAAGTGTGAAAATTAGTTGCGTTTAAGTTCCCTATAATTAGTGGCTCGGCACACACACAATCGACACATTAGACAGTCAGCGGCCCGCTCATTTGTGACACCAACACCTCTGCCTCTTAGTTAGACTCGCCCCTCAGTCCGCCACAGCTGTAATTACTTTTACGAGCTGTTTACAGCTGTTCCAAGTGGCTATTATGCTGTCAATTTTATGCAAATTCCTTACGTATTTTCCAAAGTTTCAAAGTTTTTCTTTCTCTCGCTGTCCACCTACACTAAGCTCTTCATATTGTACACTTGTGGAAATTGCAGTTTGCCTCTGCCCGCTCCCCTTCCCCCTCATTTAGAGGTAATCTGCCGCTGTGTGATATGCTGTACTTTGGGCTCCTTCGAGCTTGTTGTTTCTGAAACTTTAATTTATTTTCATTGCGCATTTTGATGCTCGTAATTCCCCCGTTATTGTTGCTGCCTGTCGCCTGCTGATGCTACCTCCTGTTCCTTTGTTATTGTTTTTGTTGTTGCTATTGTTGCTCTTGTTATAATGTCACGCTTGGTGTTGGCGTCATTACTTTTTGCCATTGTGTTGTTGTTGTTACTGTTGCTCTTGCTTTGCATATGAATATGATTTGAGAGAGAGAGAGAGCCCGTTCGGCGTTGCCCTCAACGAAGTTGCCAGGCACACTCGCAGTCACAGTCGAAGTTGCAGACGAAGGCTTCAGCCCTTGGCTTGGTCTGTTTGTGGTGGTTGTTATATAAATTCATAATTTTTTAGCGACGCTGGGTACTCTCCACTTTTATAATTTCAAAGCAGATTAATGTTGCGCATATGTGACACCATTTTATGCGACGGGTTTATCTCTTTTATGGCATCAACATCGTCATAGCCCAACACACAAAGAGAGAAGGGCGTGTGACGTCTAGGCAAGTGTATGTGCATAGGTCTTGTTTTTACAGCAAGGGCATCAGCAGATACTTAAGTAGAATCAGCACATTATTGGGCCCTATAATTCCCAGATTAAAGCACAAGTAAATGCAATGCAAGCACAATAAAGTTAATATTATTTAGTAATTTACTTTTCTTAATATTTCTTTAATACATTTTATCCCAGAAGATTTAAAACTGATGTTTTTAAAGGGATTTTAGATATATATGAAATTTACACTTGAAAAGTTTAAGTCCGAAGTTTAAATAATTTGCTTGGTATATTTTACTGGCAGGCTTGTAAAATAATACTCGTATCTAGACATGACCTGCTTGCAATGTGTATCCAACTTAAGGCGTTGATTTTGTTATATTATATGTTCATGTGTCATTGCGATCATACAGCAAATTAAAGGTGCAGAATCGACTAAACAAATACAAATCACGTTCTTCTTTTTATGCAATATCATTCAGTTATTCCGTTGTTTCTGCAATTGCATTATTCTGCCCACAATAGAACTTCTTTGTGGCCGGAATGAAATTTATACCCAATCAGCTTGGCTAATTTGGTTAGCTCAGTTTCTGTCAGCAGTGCCAAAATTCTGTTTGGAGCTTTGTCTATTGTCTTTTGTAATGTGATATGAAGCCTATTCATGGCAAAGCTGTCAAGCTATCCATCCGCTCATTGGGATTGCCTCGAGCTATGGATTCGAGTTCAGTCCGAGGCTCATTAATGCACTTTACATAATCGCAAAATCATTCAGACGACGACGACAACAATAGAAGACTGCGACTATTCAGCGACCACAATGGCAATGCGAAACGGAGACGGAGTTGGAATCAGAGTTGGAGTCGGAGTCAAAGCCAAATTGTTGTCGGATTGGACAGATATTGGGAGTGGGTTTGCTAGTGGCAGTGGGTGCAAGTTACAGCATAGATTGAAATGTTTTCGGATAATTTAAATGACTTAAATTATGTAAATTGTCGCTCCAGACAAAGACTTTGCAGAGCAATGCGATGCGATTCGTGTTTGTCCCAGTCCCAGTCCCAGTTTCCAAGTGAAGTTCCTCAATGTTAGCTCTTGTGTCGTCTCGTGAAATGCAGTGCTTACTGGGGCAAGTGGGGAAAGTGCGCGAATGCCAAGTGGCAATCGTGGCCGTTGCCACCAGCCCGCACTAGATTCACTTACAAATTTAATTAAGTTCAATTGAAAGTAACACCATGGCCGTAGCCGTAGCCGTTGCCGTCGTCAGCGTTCGCATCGTCGTCTACTGTGGAGGAAGGCAGCTCCGTGTGGAAACGTCGACTTGGGCAATGTAGCGACAATCCAAAACTTTGTTTTGACAATTGATACAATGAAAAATTTAGTGCTATCAACGTCGCTGCGTGGGCTAACGGCAGCTGTAATAGCCGCAATATAGCACATGTGTGTATAAATGTGATGTGGCAGCTGGGTTTGACTTTTGCCTCGATTTGCTTTACACTTTCATTTGGTGTGTGCACTTGCCCCATATATGCAGCGGTTATGAGTGGCAGCATTCCTGACATAATTTGTATATAAGCACAGCGTCTATATTCGCATCTAGATGGCATCAAATCGCACGCATGCATGTGCGTTGGTGTATCTGTGTCTGTATCTGTTGATGTCTAAATTTACATAATTGAATTTGTTTGCTTGATTGTCGAGCTGTCGATGCGCGTTGCCGTGCGGGAGGCACTCACAAAAATGACAATTGCTAGTTCCGGTCGTTTGCAGTTTGAAGTGCCATTGACGCAGCCAGCGGACTGGATCAGGGAGTAGGGAGCAGGGAGCAGACACCAGGGAGCAGGGAGCAGACAGCGGGGCACAACCCTCATGCCTGGATACCGCCAGCAAAAATCAACGCAATTTGTCAATAAAAATGTAACTCGAACAGATTGTGAAGTGTGCGAATGTGCTCAAAACAATCGCCGGGCATAAATTATAGTCCATTCATGCGACTAACCGACTACACCAACACATATACATCTATGTATGTGGATGGGAGTCTGCTTATGCGGCATCCGTGGCTGCGGGCTCTCATTCTCCTGTTATTTGGGAAGCCCTGTCTGCTTGACTTTAATGGGTATAATGATTTCCAATGCAGATTAAACGATCAGATTATGGTGTGCTTCAGATTCTCAAGTGGTCTCTTCAGAGTGCCCGTAGACTCGAGTCGATTGTGTGAATTCAAATTGGTGATAAATGATAGACGAGCTTTTATTAAATTTGTGTACACAATTTAGATACATTCGAAATGAAGAAAATTTCAGCTTCCTAGCTCTTATGGTTTTGGGCTGTAAGTCAGTCAATAAGTCAGTCAGTCAGTCAGTATATATATATATATATATATATATATATATACTGACTTATTGACTGACTTATATATATATTATATATATATATAT